TTGTGATTACTTGTGGGTTAGGTTTAAGCTTGTAGCGGTGTAAACGCTCAAATAATCGCTCTAGGAATCAAATTCTAAATGGAGAACCGAGTTAATCACGTTTTGTGATTAGAGACAATTTAGAACACAAAGGCATTTGAAGATTTTGCATTCAATTTTGTTTGATAATACCAGTTGACGGGATGAACAAGGAACGTGTCTGGTGGTAATCATCACGTCTACCCATAAAAGTTGCAGTGCCACTCGGAGGTTTAAATCTCAAAGGTCGTCACCCTATGACACAATGTTTACAAGTCCAATGTGCCTATAATTTCACCAGCAAACCCGGAACGCAGTAATTTTTTTTTAATTATTGCCTTGATGGCAGAATAGTTCATTGTAGATTAAGGGCGGTAAATAAGGAATTACGAATGAGACTCTATTAGAAACCCGAAGTCGAAGACGGCTTTCGGAGTCGAGATTCGCCCTAGGCCTTAGTGTTTTATTTGGGGCATTATATCCAAGTTAGCCTGCGTGCAATCATACTTCACCTGCAAGTGTGATGATAGTACGTATTTTGCCAGTATTTCCCTAGACGAGTTCTACTGTTTATTAGATATTTTTTACATAATGACGGCCAAACATGAATTATATATCAATTCATAGCTGACATCAATACAAATTGAAAAGTTTATTTGGGAATATTTAGTAAAGTCTTGTTTTCACGATGAATTTATTTATTTATTAAACTTTATTGACCACAAGACATGATGGTACAAAAGGCGGATTCTCTACGAGTCAACTTATGAGGAAAACGAAATTCACGAATGCGGCAAATTATTAATAATTTAACTAAATATATCATCAAATATATAACAAACAAACCTAACATATACATGTTATCTGTATACATAATACATATATTTATATATAATACATACAATAACAGAAGATGATGATGGTTATCGCTGTGACAAACACTTTAAAAGATGCTCATGGACATTCTTTTTGAAAGAGGATAAACTAGGAGACCTTCTGTTGGAGTCTGGAAGAGCATTCCAGAGACGTGTTGAATGGAGAGTGAAGGAATCAGACATGAAGCCAGAATGAATGAGAGGAATAGAGAGTACAAGAGAGTTAATGGATCATAGGGGGCGGTCATGAGAGGCACAGAGATACTGAAATTTACATTTCAAGTATTCTGGATAGTGAGGATTGAAAAGAATGGAGTGCAACGTGCAGAGTAGTCTCTTCTGCCTGTGTATACAGATAGGGAGCCATTTAAGTTGAGCCCTGAAAGAGGAAACATGATCAAATTTGCGAAGGCAGAAGATGAAACGGATAGCATTATTAAGAAGGCGGTCAAGCTTATATAATAGATATTCATTAAGATCAGGGTAACAGACATCAGCATAATCAATGAGTGGGAATGTAAGGGAGGTGACAAGTAAGATTTTAGTACTAATAAGAAGAAAGTTCCGAAAGTGGTTGAGAAAACGTAAAGAAGTAACAGCCTATTATATTATACAAGCTATTTAACTTTTGCAGGTGGAGTAGTTCCACTTTTATAGCTACTATTAAGCAATGAAGTGTTTCCCAAGTAAGACCAAGTAGAGACAAACCCCTCCTTTGGCCTTGGTCATGCACACCCAGTCTTGATCTCGGTCTCGGTCTTGCTACAATTAAGTGGTGTTGGTCTGCAAAAATACAAGAACAATGAAGCCCAAAACCGATTCAGTTCTTTGATGTTGTTGCCCTTGGCTCCGTACTGTAATTAGTAATCACAAGAAGTCAGTGAATGGTCACAGTGACGAGGGGCTGCATAAACCCAAAATAAGCCACTCTAATAATAATAATCCCAATAGCCTCGGTTGGATTTCTCTCGGCGTGTCGCTTCCAGAAGAAGAAATGCAGAAGGCCATCCGGCTCGATACGACACTCTCCCATTGAAAAAATCAAAATTGACTCTAAAATGGATATAACAATAATAAAAGTCTAAAATAGAAAATAATGGAATACCTCTCCCGTTCACTAATTAAAAATTTATGTTTCACGTCACGGGAGATTCGAGAGTCTAAAATAGATAATCCATAATAATAATAAGACCGATTTTGGAAAAAAACTACTTATTTTATTGAAAATTTACAGTCATCTTAGTCCCTATAAATTCCGCAAGTAAGCCAGTCTCGTTAACAAAATCATTAAATCTCATTTTCTTAATGATCCCGTGCGCTCGAACTGCTCTAATACAAACGTTAGCGTCACTAGTTCCGACACTAGTTCATTTTGTTCAGAGGCTAAGCGATACACTATAAATAATATATGATGGCAAAATACGTTTATTAGCAGCGAATATCGAAATATTTTTACATTCAACTGAAACAACTGCTGCCTCGAATGCATGAGCTAGACAATAGACATCCTCAGGTCCCTCCAGTCGCGTAGGAATTTGGGAACTGGACAGACTCCGTTTTTCGGCGTTCGGGAAGTGAGCGTGACTTACAACTCCGCCACCAAAGAGTAGATTTGGTAGTCGGCTTAAAGTCAACGGCTCAGCGGTGGCAACCGTTAGTTGCGTAGAGCGCGACGGGAAGTGGGCGTGCCTACAGCTCCGGTACCTACCTGGAAAATAGGGAAGGTGCTGTACGTGCACCCGGGGCGGCTTACCTAAGGCACTGCGCGGGCATGCTCGCGCAGGTCGTAGGGTCGTATTCTAGAACTCTACTCAATGCTCAAGTCAGGACTTGAGTATGATTCAAAGCACTAGAAATCATACTCAAGTCCTTGCCTTTAGGGTCATATTTCCAGTGCTTGAAATCATACTCAAGTCTGCTCAAACCCTGAGTTGAGCATTGAGTACAGTTCTGGAATACGACCCATAGCGCCCTTCTCGTTTAGGGTCGGCAGGAAGGGAAGCACTATAATCAAAACTAATGTAGAAAGATATGGGGCTGTTGCCTTGAATTTCTTTTACAACGAATACAAAATAGCCTGAAGTGGCAACTGAAGTAGATTAATTAAATTTAAAAAATAACTGAAATCAATTGAGTCATTCCGTAATCAGGTCTTATGGAAGTTCGGTAGCAGTAGAGATCCTTGTGAAACTATTATCTTACCTATTTATGCCGCCAAGCTACTGCTTCACATTACTATGTGAGTAACTGCGTTCCGGTTTTGGAGGGTACTGGTGAAATTACAGGCAAGGCTCGTGACTTATGTCTCAGGGTGACAGGCGCAGTGGCATTGTTCCTCAGATCTTTGCGGTTTTATAACTCTGAGTGACACTACAACTGCTATGGATAAGCGTGCCGTTTAACGACAGGCACAAGACTTATTCGTCCATAAAAAAAGTTTTATTTGATTTTGTCTTCGTCGCGCAAAGTTCTTAAAAGTTTATACAATACACCACAAGCGATCTTGCTCTAATTTCAGAACATTTTCACTGAAAAGAAAGTGATTTGCAGACGACTTCACGGTTGGCGAGTGCGCGTGCGCCCGCGTCGGTTTTTGTCCGCCAATGGAATTTCAGAGGAAGTTTCTCTGAAAGATCTTAGCTCAACATCTCAACGATGTTATTAATTACTGTCGTGAAAAACCAGCTATAAAATCATTCTTTTGTAAGAATTTATTGCAATGTCGTGTTCTACTATACTCGGATAATAATTCGGTCGGTAATTTGATTGGATGAAGTTTATATTAATTCAGTTTTAACTGCTTTAGTTACACGCATCAACCTGAATTACTTCGAAGTCCGTTACACCTCGTCAAATTAGTGGCTTATGGTACAGGGTCAAGATCACGTCAAACATGACACTTAAGGATTAAATTCAACTCTATACCGATGAGATAAACACGGTTCCAAAACGTCAGACTCGGTGTGCTCTTGCGCGGTTGCAATAAAACTTCAATCTACATACTCGTGCATGTACGGACTTTCTCCTTTATTAAGGTATTATAACAAATTCTGTTATTAATGAATTTCATAGTGCAGAAGAATCTCATACGAAGAAATTGTTGTTTCTATTTTTTATTGGACACCGCCGTTGTATTTGAATTGAAACCACAGCTTGGTAAAGATATAGTCATTCTTTATTGGTTAAATTAACATCTATAAGTCATAAAGAATTATAAATTATATTATCTTCGTATAATATTACATTAGTAGCAATAGATCTCCTTGTGACAGAATTCGTCCAGGGAAGTACTGCCACCTTACTTATTTATGCCGCCAAGCAGTAATGTGAGCATTACTGCGTTCAGGTTTTGAAGGGTAAGGGTGCTGGTGAAATTACAGTCACATGGGACTCTCAGGGTGAAAGCCCAGTGGCAGTGCCCCTAAGATTTAAAGCTCTGAGTGACACTACAACTGTTACGGATAGGCTTGTCACCTATCACCAGGCGCACGGCTTATTCGTCCCGTCAATATAGTTCACTAGTTTAGTTCAAACCTGAAAAAAAATCACAGAGTTCCGCAAACTTTTAATTATTTACCACGTTCACTTCGCACCACCTAGCTAGCTCACACATCTCAGGTGGAATCGCAGCCTTAAACAAAAAACAGTAATGTAGAAAAAAAGAATGAAGATACAGCATTGCTTTTTTCCAGTCTTCGCCTTTTGCTATTCGTTTGCTGCATCAGATCGTCAAACGGAGTGTATACTAAACTCCAAGTAATTTGTATTAAGGCTGACTGTGTTCTACGCAAGCATGTAACTATTTCGCTGTAAGGAGATTTTGGCCTTCATTGTATTTTTAAAAAAGTCTGCAACTACAGCAATATAAAGTTTTCATTCCAAAACGCTGACTGTTCCATTAGCAAATCTGACAAAATGTCAACAATGACAAAACCTACACCATCCGACACAAAACAGTGCACAAAATATTGAAAAAGTATAACAAACGATATCTTAGTTTAATTTTATTCTATGTTATTATGTACAGATCGCTTATATACTTGTAAATAACAATAATAGATACATATCCTTCTGTACATACATCCTTGTACAAAATAAAACAGAGAGTTAAAGACAGTTGTTATGGATGATTTTACAATTGGTATGGAAGATAAATTCAAGGTACTTCAAGAACGCATAAGTAAAGTCCACGATAGTCAAGATAATGTTTTATTAAAGTTCGATACTCTGGCGAAAAATTTTGATAATCTAAAAAAAGTTGTGAGTCAGTTTTCTGATAAAGTCTCTGGTTTGGAGGAAGTGGCCACAGACAGACGGAAGCTGAAGTCTGAAATTAAAATACTGAAGAATAGAATAAATGAATTGTATGCTATTGTAAAGGAAGGCAAAGAAGATGGTTCAATATCAAGTGAGGTGGGGGATACGCAATCTAACAATGAGTCCAACCATTCGGGTTTTTCTTCTTCTTCTAAGGTAATTTTATCGGTATTAGTAAGTAGGAAATTTCTAGTTAATAGAACTAAATCGTTTTTAAAAAGTCTTTAAATATTATGACAAGAGAGTGTTGCATACTGGATGATTTAGTGACTAGGATATAAATGGCAATGTTCAATGGTTCGGTCACAACATGGAACAGATGGATTTTCGTAGAATAACTTTAACTAAAGCACTTGTGTTGTCGAAATCGGAAACAACGACGGTACACACAAGGTACGACGGTACCACAAACACCCAGACCTGAGACAATATATAAAACGGAGAACGAACCCGGGACCTCAGAGTTGGCGACACCATGAAAACCGGTGTACAAGCCACTTGATCACGAATATCGTCAATGTGGTTGGAAACTTGGGAAAAGCTGGACTTCGGTGTCTAATCTTAACCGAATTGAGTATGTTCATAAAAATGCCGGCTAAAAATGACCCAAATAAACGAGGGTGTACGAAAAGAACCGATAACCGATGAGGGAAACGAGCTCCTGCGTGGAGACCACGGCTTGTCAATTAGTGTAGGACGCCCCCTGGCCAGATGGACTGACGCGATAGGTTAAGAACTGGGCGAAATGGCGCCTTGGGAGAGGCCTATGTCCAACAATGCACTGCTACAGGCAGATGATGATGATGTATGAAAAAGTGACGTAGTCATCAATAACGAAATAGTCATCTCAGGAGAGTGCAAGTGGATGTCTATTATTCCAAACTCATTAACAGACAGTATATTTATGTAATAAGCATATTTTTTGGGAAAATTTCCGTTCCTGTTTCTGATAAGTAGCAGTTACTACTCTTCTGGTCTTTCCCGAGCGCCATCTACTTTAGGCTTCTTGGGACCGTGTTAAGAGGGAGCAGAGGAAAAATTCCTAATCTTCGATTTGACTTTAGAGGGGTATATCCACTTTAAAGTTAAAAATAAAATATTGTATGTGTAACTACACGATATATTCTAGCATAGACATTAATCAGAAACATAAAACAATAAAGTTTCCTCGATAGATAAAAATATCGAAATGACCTCTAATTTTCACATTTTTTCGTTTTATCCTCGAAATGCTACAGGTTATTAGGACAAAAATTAGATAATTAATTGTATTTATGCATGATTGACAACTGTTACTACGGATTTTTTTTAATCCCTTTAGTTTTAGAGTTATTCCGCTAAAACGAATTTGGTACTTTTAATGCGCAAAATTCAACAACTCCTGTCGCACGTCACGCGAACTTCAGGCATATATTTGTTTCACAAATTTGGGCGGAGCCAACGTCAAAACTTTTTGGGCATGCTCCCTCTTAATAAACATGTCCTAAATCAGTATTTAAATGCATGTGGGCTGAGATACGATTGTATTAAGTTGCCGCCAAATCTTTTGCTATAGATGTTTTTCAGTTAGAATGACGTTATTAAACGGGTAATAAAACTTAGCCTGCATTTGCCAATCATGGTTATAAATTAAATAAAAACTTAATTATTAATTAATAAATAAATTTAAAAATTGAACATTATTTTAGCACTTTATTTTGACACACACAGCTAAGTAGGTAACGCCATTTTTGTTGTATTACAGCGCTACTAGTGGCAAAATATGGAATTAACAATCACATAGCGCGCCAATCTATAAATCGGCCACGAGTTGTGACGTGTTTAGAAGCGCGAACTTCTATTAGAATGCGGACTACTTTTATTTAGCCGTATTACAGTCTGATTAATTGTCAATTAGCAGTTTTTTAAACGCTAGGTATTTTGTAACCCAGCAATGGTATACTCATTGTCGTAACTTGTTTTATTGCTTCTTTCAATTGTTTTGCACTCATCGCTCAAGAGGGTCATTTCGCGATACATTTTTTTTAATTTATTTTGTAACGTAATGTAGTACACTTCGGCGCAAACGAACCAAACAGTTTCGCGAACCGTACTTGATTAATGCCGGTCATTAATCAACTTCTGACTATTTAACGCCGGCAAAAAACTATGATATTTTTTTAGAACGGCATTTCTTTTTTAATAGTAATAAGAAAACCGACCTCAAAAGTACGTGGAATTACACGTCTATTTGCTAAGTTTTATTGAAATATCCTTAAATTCGCTGCTATACAGGACTTGACACTGGAGATAATAAAAATCGGTTCTCACTACTACTAAGTATAGTGAGAGAAAAACGCCTTGAATTAAAAAAATAGCAAAATCAACCATTAAAATATACGCTCCTAAGTAAAATTTAAGCGCTATTTATAAAAATGAATCTGCATGCCTGAACAGCCACCCTTGTAAGTGGATGATTTTCTTCAAAATGAAATGGGACCACTACCGAAGTACCCCCTTTCCAACAAACAAAGAATCATGAAAATCGGTTCACAAATTTATTTATTTATTTATTTATTTTATTTATTTATTTATTAACTTATATACATTTTAAATACCGCAGTTATCGCGTAACATACATACAAAAAAAAACATACAGTCGAATTGAGAACCTCCTCCTTTCTTGAAGTCGGTTAAAAAAAAGATTTCTAATTCTAACACACGTCACCCCCTTAAATAGCCCCAAATTTAGTTTTCGGGGAATACAGATAGTAGCCTACTCCGTTCTTTCGCCATATACATTATCAAGAAGCCCATCGCTCCGAGCGAGTGACAAATCAATGAGAAAGGCTTCGATATTTCAGCTAATACCAGAGATATTTGTATAACATTTGAAATAATCATATTGCTTAAACTCTACAGCTCATTCGTAAGGCAGATTCCCCTGAGAAGAACGAGCAAGAAACTCTAGGGGCTGCTCTTTGTAAACACACATTTGAATACATTTATTATTACAATATTTAGTAGCAGTAGAGCTCCTTGTGAAAGAGTTCGTCCAGGGAAGTACTGCCATCTTACCTATTCCCAAGCAGTAATGTTAGCATTACTGCGTTCCGATTTTGAAGGGTACGGGCGCTGGTGAAATTACAGGCACATGGGACTTGTATTATGTCTCAGGGTAATAGACGCAATGGCAGTGCCCCTCATATCTTTGCGATTTAAAGCTTTGAGCGGCTCTGCAACTGTTGTGGACAGGCGTGTAGCTTACCATCAGGCGCACGACTTGTTCGTCCCGTCACTTGATATTATAAAAAAGTTACAATATTTACTTCAAATAACATAGATCGAGACTACTTGCAAGTATAAAACGGGTCTCTACCGCAGATTTTTGGGTCAGCCACGTACGCAGAAGCTGTATAAATAACCTTTTAGCATAAAGTGTTTGTTTCGCTGTAATAGTTTTAGACCTCATAAACGGCAAATTTTAAACGTCAATAGGAATTTTAGAAGCGTATACATTGCCCCCTTGGAATTTGAGACTTTATGAAGACGACTGCTGCAACTAGTTTATTTTTATTCCTCGTATTAATATTATGTCGGTCATTGTTTTCATAAATAAACTACTACAATATCAAGTTCTTACGTTTTCGCGATTGTTACACATAGGAAATGAAACTATTTTTCCGGATTTAAATCGCGTATATTTGTTTTTTCAAACAAACCGACGTTTCGGCGGGCCCTTTACAGGTCTCATGGCCACGGTTGACTGGGTTGTTTGAAAAAACAAATATACGCGATTTACATCCGGAAAAATAGTTTCATTTCCTAAACTACTACAAATTACATTTTCATAATTGTACTGTGACGCTAGTGTAAGAATCTTATCTTCTATAAACTTATTATAATTATGACTAAAGACAGTGGTAGAAGCGCCCTCTGCCCTTTTTTAGTAAAACCGTCGTAACGTAATACAATATTACGTTATATGGTGCCGTTATCGTTGTGACGTCACAAACAAGGATGTCAGTTTTTCTAAAGCTCATTTTTTTTTCTAATTATATTGCCGCGGAACAGAATGGAAGCAAATTTTTGTAACGAAATTGTACACGGCATAATGAACGTACAAACTAGATACGATACGGTCGCTATGGAAATTCCCGAAATTGCGCGAGAATTCTCCGAAATTCGGAGTATACATTTCATTATGCTAAAAAAATCGCGTCCATTCTGGGGGTCCACTCCCGTTCTTGTCCGAAACAATTGCCTACTGTCAAATATGTGATACTCTACCAAAAAACAATATCAAGTATGAGGCTTCATTCGCATCGTGCGTCCTAATTTGGTCGAGTATTAATTATTTGACAGTAATTGTTTCGGTAGGAGAATGGGAGAGTAGAAACTCTGTTCCGCGGCATTGTAAATTGAGCCTAACTCCTGATTTCTAAATACACGGGCACTGTTTTTTACCACCAAAATCATATCGCAAAGGCGCTCTTTTTAGTTCTGACCTAGCGATGCGCGACTTTGAATGTTACTAATACTAATCATTCGAATGGGCAAATCATTCGCCTAAGTCGAATTCAAGCACAATCATCCGCCATTTGGTCGGATGCACGAGTCGAAAAATTATTTTTACTAATTAAAATATCAAATATGACGCTACTCAAACACTCTACTGCCTCCTGATTGGTTAAAATATAAGCGGTAGTTGGCCAATCACGTACACTGCTATTCTATCTATTTCATTACTTGTTTTGTAGCATCTGTTTGGTTTTTATTGTAGTTTATTGTCGTGGATTATTAACAAAATATACTTAAATATAGTGTTTAATTATTTTTCATTGTATGCAATCATTGCATAATTAGGTTTTAAAATCTTGTACCGTACTCCACTTCAAGAACCCTTATTACGCAATGATTGCATAAAATTCTATGAATTCTGGATTCACATTATTTTACGCCGATGAGAACAATTTAATTTTCGATTCATGATAAATAGCCAACGCGTTATCATGAATTATGATAACGATGTTGTAGTACTTTCTTGGTATATATATTAGTTTACAGGCGACTGTAGACACTAGCGATTGCCTGGTTGCAGGGCAAAGAAACGGATTAATTTAGTAATAATTTTCGCTTACAGGTAACAATGACGACGGGGCTCGATCGCGATACCATTCGCTCAGCGTACGAAGACGTCAGATCTGACGCTACCCCCACTGAGTGGTAAGTTTATTTTTTGCCAACGCTTCTTTTCACAATAATTTAAGTAAAATTTTTGTCAAAAGGCTGCTTCTGGTTTGAAAGTATTGGTTTCTGCTTAACTGAGCGGGTTTTCAAAATGGCCACCGTAAAGAATAAGCCGCGCAAAAATGTCAGAAAATTATTAAAGAAAATTACAATCTTAGATCTGGCAATTATGGCCAATCTTCTTCTTGGCGTGTCGACTCCGACGTTTATATTTGTGAGGACCAGTACTTAGCGACTGAGATAGCATTATCAGTGGCGTTGTACAGGTCCTCGCGTGTGCAGGTGTAGAGACACGCAGGGCAGGACAAAGGATGTGGCATTGTCTGGAGAGAGACACCACACGGACATGCGCTCTCCGAGCTGTAATCCCACCCGACAGCGGTATGAGTGACGCCGTGGGGTACCTCTAGTTTCCTCGTCCACAGGGTATACTTCTTTAATTATGGCCAATTAGACGCCTTAACCTATCCCGAAGAACATAAAATTTTACTGCTATTGTATAATTCCAAGTTTGTTGCAATTACATAGAAAACAGTAGTTTGAAAATCAAATATGGGCAAGTTCTGGCGAGTATGTAGGATGACGGATGGTTTGTAACTGCAGGTCTTATAGTGTTAAAACTGTTTTTCGAGCAGTGCGAGGTCTTGCGTTATCATGGAGCAATAATGGTAAAGTTGTTTTCAAATGCCATATGTCGTATTGTGGGCATGCTAATATTAAACCATGCCGCTAATTCCTTGGTAGTTTGACGTATCAAATTGAATTTCAATTCATCGTTATTTACCTTAGTGACTGGTCTTCCTCGTGGTTTATTCTTTGTGTCGAAATTTCGTTGTCGAAAAACGAACGGTGCATTCATTAGTATCCTCTCCAAAGAAAAACATTACGAAGATAAACATTACAGCATTGACATTACGAGCAGTTTCTGCTGCGTTAACCCCATGTGGGAATTCGTATTCGAAAATTACTCTGATTTTCGCTGTATTCATCTTCATGTTAAAAGCTGAATGTAAAAACAATTGAAAAGCTAAATAATCAAATTTATCATGTTTTTTTAAATTAAGAATGTTTTAGTTTTCGTGTGAAAAAAGTTTCATTCTGAAATCTGAATCTATTTGCCAAGTTTTATTAAAATCGGTTAACGCAAATTGGGTGAAATCTAACAAACCGGATTCGGCCCCTAATTTGTCACCTTTAGAGGTGGACTGTTTTCTTCAAATTTGAAAGGGTATTGATCTCAATATAGCGGGTATCTACCCGCTATTGAGATATCCCCTTTCCAACAAAAAAAGAATTATCAAAATCTATGATTCTTTCCATCGATCGGTTCACAGATGTCGGAGTAATCACGTAAATTAACAACCTCTTCCTTTTTTTTCAAATCGGTTAATAAGGGAAAATTTACTCGCTTAACAACAGTCGGTTTCTTTACACCAATCAAATCAGATAAAACTCTGAACAAATAGCTTAAGTGTGAGGCCAAACGAGCGTAATTTTGTGAGTTGCGTTTTTTTAGTTGCGCACTTTGCGCTGCATTCGGTTTCATATAAATAGTGCGGTTTCTCACGACGCACAGTGGGCGCCAAATCGATAATTCTTGGACATAGGAATAACTTGTAGAGTATCGAGCTAATTTTTTTTTTATATGATAGATAATAACACTCCTAACAACTTTTATTCTTGTATAATTTCTTGAAAAGTTGATAATTTCGGAGAAAAAAAATATTTTTTTTTTGTATGGAGAAATAATATACATACATACAATACGTTTTATTTTTTATCTCAAAATATACGAAAATTTAATGTACGTGGGTTACTTACAGTATAGTTCCAATCATGCATGTACTTCCGGCTTTGTAAGTAAAGATACGGCAAAATTGCTAACTCTTTTATGTACTTTTTTAACAAAATACATGAGCTTCGACTAAAGAAAAATTAATTTTAGTGTAATTTAGAGAGTGTTATAACAATAACACGAAAGTTAAGTAGAAACTAGTATATTGTGTTAAAAAATAAATAACAAATCTAAAATTTTGACACCTTTTTACCCCTAAAGCCGCAAGTACCTGCAGATGAATTATTTTTTTCTTGATAGAGAATAATTGGACCTATACTGTAAATAAACCACACACATTACAGTTTCCTACATTAAGAGATAAAAAATAAAATGTATATTCTTCATACAAAAATGTTAATCATTTTTTTCTTTGAAACTATCAACTTTTCAAGAAATTATACTCTATGCTTATAAAATTAGCTCGATACTCCACAAGTTATTTCTATGTCCAAGAATTATCATTTTGGGCCCATTGTGCGACGACGCAAAATGAGTTATCTGCCGACTCACGGCCGTAATGACAACCGACTTTCGGTCCTATCTGCTAGCGTGAGTGGAGGTAGGGGTGATGGAAGGGGTCACTTTGGTATAGGATGCGCGTGAGTATAGATGTTTCTTGCGAAAATGTTCGAAAAATTTATCACCGAGGTTGAACAACGTCCATGTTTATGGAATTTATCACAAAAATCATATAGTGAAGTTTTTGAAATTTTTTATAAGTCTTTCCTCTGGACTGATGGCTTGTCTCATATTTGTATCCGACTTAGCAATAAAAGGTTTTACTAGGCTTAATAAATCTTGAAAAACATTTATTGACATGTGGTAGTACTTAACAAATTCATCTGGATGTTGACATAAACTTGTATATGATATATGAAACTGCCCACACTTTAATCGTTTCATATTGAGTGGATGTACCCAGCTTCTTTTTCTAACATCGTCTTCTAATCTTCATAAATGCCTACTATTTTTTATGGATCCATTACACTATTACGACACAAACACCCCGTATAAACGCTTAAAAGAATTAACCGAATTTCGGTCGAGCGCAAAATAAAACGCAACTCACAACTTACAAAATTACGCTCGTCTGGCCTCACACTAACTCAGTCATTGGTTTTGCATTTACCGTGACACGAACCTATCAGTTAATATATTTATCTCGCTACTTCTTTTCAAGTAGTTACATAACGAGGTCATTAACCTACGAGTTTACTCATTACATAGACATTTAAGTTCTACAATCGCAGAAAGATACAAAAAAATGCCCATAAATAAACCAATACTTAATATTAAACGCCGGAAACGATTGAGTATATTTACCTAAGCTTCAGAGAAATAATGCACATAGTGGATATAGTGGATCACAGTGGATAGTGCCTTCTGCATTTCTTTTATAATACCAGGTGACGAACAAGTTGTGCGCTTGGTGGTAAGAGACGCGCTTCGGAGACATAAGTTGATAAATACCATGTGCCTGTAATTTCACCAGCACCTTACCCTTCAAAACCGGAACGCTGTAATGCTCACATTACTGTTTAGCGGCAGGATCAGATAAGATGGCAGTACTTCCTGAAACGAACTTTTTCACAAAGAGATCTTCGGCTACTACAATTTCTGAATGATTAAATTAGCGTAATTAAATACAGCTTCCGGTAGCTGTAAAGTTACCCGACTGAGTGAAGAAACTTCATAAGTGTCCGACAGGTGGCGCATGCCGCTGGCGGCATAAAAGCCGTTTAAAACGAATACAAATAAAGTACAAAGAGTATGATTTCGATATTCGCCTCGTTAGTAATTACTAACCCTGTCATTCGAATGACAAATTAGTAAGCTACTAATTTTCGTATTCGAATGATACGAATGATCATTTATTAATAATTAGTATTCTATGGATTCCATAGAGCATTTCTGCCTAGCCCTTTTTGATGTATCTATGGTAAATACCGTAAATGTGACTGGGAATGGAATGTTTCGATATGGACATGGTGAATGATCCTGTGGAGTTCCGACCATTGGTCAATGGTTTCTACATTATAATCATTCGAGTCGTGACACCCGACCGAATGCCCCTACCATTTGTCATAGAGGGCTAAGTGATGACGAATATCGTAGTGCTCTATGGAATCTACGGATTAGTAATGAATGATCCTTCAATTCGATTACGAAAATTAGTAGGTTACTAATTTGTCATTCGAATGATAGGATTACTAATTACTAATGAGTCGTATATCGAAGTCATTCGCAGTCGCGCACCGTTAGTATGCAGCTGAGTCGGTAAGAGCGGTGGCCCCGGCATGGCTACAGACGCTTGTTTGATTCCAATCTGATTGAAGGAATTTTTGTTTGTGTTGTTAGATATTTGTATTGGTTATAATAACAGTACAGTACAGCGGTACAGTTAGTTACATATCAAAAATATACAACAAAAATACGTGTAAGAAGTGGTATCTACTCTATATGTATTACTTCCTTTCCTAAGTTTTAGGTAAATATAATTTCTCTATTCCGTCCTCTAGTTATGAGTTATGACAAACAACATGTGCTCAATTTTTAAATTTTATTTATTTGTAATTTGACCCCCCTTAAATTAAAAATTAATGTTTGAACATTGAAAACAGTTTTAAACTGGAAATATTAATTGAAATATTCGTTTATAAAGTTGTGCCGTATTAAATTTTTTGGCAAAGAGCGATTTTTTTGTGGAAGTACTTTGACGACTTCAGTGGCCCGAAGGTTTGCACTGCGGCGCTAGATGAAGAGAGAATCGAGAAAAAAAAAATCGAGAATCGAACTTGGGACCTCATCATGATTTTACATTCATGATCATACTGCAACAGTACTAAATAAAATTAGCATTTATTTATACCATATCATAACACGTAAGTTATTCAATTAATTGATTCCATCAAGCTATGAAAGTATGCTTAATATTCCCTGTCTGTTGAGTCATTGCCGTAGGTGCAAACATTCTTACCACTACGTCACCTCGTTTGAAGTAGGACATTGTACCGCATCATTTTTCAAATGAGGTATTCCCTCAAACTCATTTTAATTACATGATCTACCCAACATTACCCTGATCGCTGGAAATGACTGCCGCAACAGAGCTTAGATCAACGAATAGGCCAGATTGAGAGGCAGACGGCAGACGTGCATAAATCGACTTCCTTATTACACACTGATTGTTCCACTTTCCCTGACGCAAAGATTGCTCTGACTACAATTTCCGGTAGTCTTGATCATATTATCTCGTCAGGTGACGGAAAGTAGATTAGTTTTGCAGAGTGTGCTAAAACTAAATACAGAGGAAATTCGTCTTTCTTGAAGCACCCGAAGTTCCATTTTAATGTTCGTTATGCGGTTTAATAAAACCATGGTTCCGAATTCGTTTCGCTTCCAAGAAACAGCTTGGTTGCAGCTATAAATCTTTTGTATTGCAGTTCTGGTAGTTATCCTGTGCTAACGAGACTTTTTTGTCCTAGGGCCGTGTTCAAATTCGAAGGTGCGCGCATCATATGCTCAGCGCGTGGTAGCGACTTCACCGAATTCCGCACTCAATTCTCCGACGACGACCGCGCGTTTGGGTACCTCAGGTATGACATATAGTTGCGTTGGAGGTTTATAGATCAGAAATTTACTAAACCATTACCATAGAGACCCCCCACCATTTCGAGGTTAGCGTCTTGCCAAAGCACGCACAGTGGCCACAGCGTCGAAACTACATCCGCCCGGCGGCGACGTAACGCCACTGCGGCGTATACGCGACGTTCGTCACTATACAACAGTGCTAGCGTTGGCTGGCTCGAAAAACGGTAGTGTGGGGGTGTCATAATGATCAAGAAACTAGCTTATAAAATGTGGGATAGGAAGAACTATGCATCAACATCCCATGTGTTCCCAACCAAATGTGGCATGAACTGTGATACTGAAGGGTTTATATCATTAAAACAGTAATGGAAATTTTGCCAGTCGGAGTGAACACCTATCTGACCTTCTCTTCTAAGAAAACCCTGCCTTCTGTAACTTCTTATATTAGAAAGGAGTCCAAACGGAAACGGGTCCGACTTAGTATACGTCACAGCTCGGTTTTCAGTTAGAGCGCCTTTTATAGGATAAGATGGTGCGAAAGTACTGATGTTAATAAACACTAAGTATAATTAAAAACAAATTGGAAAATTGCCAACAATTATTACATGAATTGATTTTTTTATTAAATCGCACCCCTCATGGAAGAATGGCGTAAGTGGAGTTACGTCAAACGTGTTTAGTGTTCCATTGGATACAGAAAAATATAACCCACATCCTCTCCAATTCTTGTAACTGTATCCACAATATTAGTCGATAGAGTTACAAGAATTGGAGAGGACAGAATGTGGGATGCTTTTCTGTATCTAATAGAGCTATAAACGTTTTTGAGGTAACTCCACCTATGCCATTCTTCCATGAGGTGCGAAATGTTTTTGTCAAGTCTTCACCAGACACATTAATGTTAGATTTTAGCGTGTCATTGAATACTTCAATAACAGAAATTCTGTATTATGCAAATGAATCTCATGTATAATATGCCTTATTATGTACAAGTAAGAGAGTCAACACACTTATCGCAACCCGGTTAGAATAATCTTCATGTCCATGTGTCTAATCAAAACGGGAAAGATGTTGCGCATAGAAAGAAATTCAAAAGTGGTGCCTCCCTAAATGAAGGGTGATCAGAAAGTTTTAACCGTTGCTATGCCCCCAGGTTGCAGATGGGCGACGAAATGTCAAAACGCAAAAAGTTCATGTTCGTGACGTGGGTGGGACCTAACGTGTCGGTCATCAACCGCGCTAAGATGTCCACTGACAAAGCCATCATCAAGGATATCATCTCGGTGAGTTACAATTAATTCACTATGTAACAAACATTCTAAAAGGTTCTTCTTCTGGTTTGACAATATTTTTTTAGGTTTCTGTTTAATTTGAGCAGCTATACGCCTCATCATCATCAACAACCTATCGTAGTCCACTGCCGGAGATAAGCCTGTCCCATTGCGCGCCATTTCGCCCGGTGCTCAGCTCGTTCCATTCATAAACTGCCAGCAGCCCTTCGCAAATGGTCACTCCATCTGGCCAGAGCGCGTCCTATACCACATTTGCCAAGTTCTTCGACTGATATGTAATGTTAAACTACCTCCGTGGCCGAACGGTTACCATGCCGGACTGCCACGCAGAGACCCCAGGTTCGATTCCCGGGTCGGGAGAAGTATTTGTATGATCTACATTTATTTCTCTTGTGAGTTTGTGAGTGATTTGTGGTTGTCTATGTGTGTATCCATGGCATATATCCATAGAGGTTCCCTAGTGTGGGGCTATGTTGAGTGTGTGGGCGTTATAGATATTGCCAGCCCACTGCCACTTCAGCTTGCTTATTCTACCAGCTATGTCGACAATCTTAGTTCTCTGTCAGATAACCTCGTACCTTGTCCTTCAAAGAAACTCCGAGCATAGCTCGCTAAGCGACTTCCAACTTGTGAACTAACTGTATCGTGAGTGTCCACATATCGGCTCATATAACCTATACGCCTGAAATTTTGTTTTTGTGGCTGTCATAGTGGTATTTACATAGCTGCCTATATATTAGCTACATATCTAGTGGTATTTAATTTACCTCGCAACGCAAATCTATACATTTTTAGGTTCTTATTTTCGATTTGTAGAATTTTGGTTAAATATACTGCTGATTTCAAATATAATCCCTTTTTATCAGTACTTAAGTATTTGGATATCTGGATCACAAAATAGTTATCCAGATACCCCAATACTATATACTCAAGAAGCAATTTACATTTGAAAAAAAACTCAAAATCATCTATTTGTGACATTCCACTACTGACACTAATATCACAACCACACATACATGGTAACCAGTGATCACACAATACACGCTCACACAGACTCTACACGTACTCGCAGTTTCTCCTTTTTTAAATTGAATTTTCATATTTAAATTAAATTCTTTATTTTTCTTTTTACATGGTCGAAGCCACTTTATTTTTGTTTAACTGTAAATTGTTGGTTTCACTGAAAACCAGCGTAACGAGATGTTTCCCTACGTCTCGTTACAAATAAGCTGAGTGGCGACCTTTTTGGTACCATCTTAAATATAATACTGTTTTATTTTAAGTAAATGTTATAATAAGGTTATTTTAATTTTTGTTTTCACGTTCTATTTGTATTATGGTTACCAAATAAACTATTTTTCTTTCTTTCTTTCTTTCTTTCTTTCTATTTAAGTAAAGAGAAACTCATTTCGAGAAACTTTTCCTTAATGGTAACTACGCAAATTTCAACTTTTAGTTGTCCTGACCACAAAAGCAAGCTTTTGGCAGGTATATAAAGTTTTTTCATGTTATAATCAATTAGGAAACGGTATTGATTTATTCGGCTGGATTGGAACCAATGTCTCCTAGGAAACCGTGCGCTATGCCAACTAATCGTGTTACGTAATGTTATCACCATTCGCTTTTTCTTCTTCCATTTGTGACGATGTGATCTCCTTACATCGTCATCCCACCTTTTTATCGCCTTTTCTCCGGTTCCTGACCACTTGCTTTAAATTTTGAATCGTTTTTTAATTCCTTTGCCTCGCCATTCTCATTTTGTTTCTATCCAACGCCACTCCCTGCGTCTCGATTGCGTCCAACTTTGATTCTTTTACCAGTTTTAATTCCAATCTGTAATAACTACAACTAATCATGTGCCAATTTTAATATCAATCTTAATACTGTATAACTCGGCCCTTTCGGGGTAAGTCTGCTCGCGTTTAGTATTTAAGTAGGGAGTGTTTTGTAGCGTTGTAAACTTTTTTGTTACAGCCTCTTTTTCTCCTTTCGATTTGATTATCGATTTACGGACCGAAGTCCTATTTTATTGTCGTGAACCTGATCACGGGTCATTAGGGTTTACAACCTTTTCAAATTTGTAGGCGTTGCTATTATTGGTTAACATTACGATACATCTAACTCAACCTGACTCCTAAGACACAGACTCTAGTGTAGTTTAGGAGCCAGTGTATTCTCAAACCTTAGCGTATGCCTTTTTCATTGTATATTCAGTAACAACTTTTTATGTATATTAGTGATAAGGCTAAAAAGTTAATAAAGCTATTATTATTATTATTATTATTATTGGTGCGAAGTTCTTCATGTTATTGTACGCTCATGTCTAGACTTTCTTCGTTACGATAACAAGACACACTAACCTAAGTAACACATTGTGAGCTTACTGTGCTCTTGATGTCTTACGTCCACTCATTCACATTTGTTTAGTCGTAGCTTGTACAAGATGACTTTTAGGTAAGGATGATGGATCGGTCTTTTGCTCCATTGTGTTTTCTTTGAAAGTTAAGTCTGACGCTTGAGAGTCCATACAATCTCAAATGGCTTTGGTGGATTCCGCACAACAGTGAAACTGTTGAATCAATTACTTTGTAAAATATATATAGTAAAATTGACGATATACTTGCAACTAGAAATCCGCGGGTAATATGTCCCCGATTCTACGAACATCTACCCACAGACCTGAAAAGTGTTACAAACGATGAAACGTTTTGTACCCGACTAAAAAACCTTTTATTGGATATTGAATTGTACAGTGTCGATGAGTTTCTTTTGAAACAATTTTAATTTTATTTTATTCGACAAGCAGTAGTTATACTACTTTATTTTATATTCATTATTATTATTTTATTACTGACGATCATAGTTATCCCTTGACATTGTATTTCCAATTGCAATATTCTGACATTGATAACATGAAATAAACGATTCTATTCTTTTCTATTCTATATAAAATTTTCACGATAGAAAACGCAAACTTGCGTGGAAATTTTAATTTTTTTTGAAAAGGAAACCGCTGTATACAGTCGGTACTCTACATAATATACCAATGATTTTTTTTATATCAACTGAACTAAATAGAACAGGTATAATATACTACATACATTTATCAAATGGCTTTAATATAGTTTGTAAAATAATAAATTCTGTGGCTAGTGTCCCCGCCGCTCGATCTAAGCAAAATGAACCGTATTAGTACGGGAGAAGTTCGATTTCGAGCTGAGGTAGGGTAGTATACACTGTTAAGATGTATCTCTATGTGCCGCTTACGAAAAGAATCGACCAAAGTTAATATCCGTTGGGTGTCAGTAAAAGAAAATTCCACAACTAAAATTGAAGAATAAAATTTGCTCTCTTTCTCTATATCGACATGAACCACAATTCTTCTTGGGGTGCAGAGTGCACCCTAAGAAGACTACCTAACTGACCCCTACCTACCTAAAGACCCCTACTGTAGGTCGGCTATTATTATAGCCACTTGGATCCTTGAAGTTGCGGCTCGGAACATTTCTGTGGTACTTACTTATGGTGAATTCTATGGTGGTATTCTACGGCCACATCTTGGATTTTTCCTTGTAGAATGATGCAACTCATTAATAGAGTATTTGTCACTCCGCATGATGTGCCCGAAGCACTAGTTTCCTCCTTTTTACGGTTTCAGAAGTTCCAAACCTTTGTGCATTCTCTGCAGTGCGTTGTCATTTGTGATTCTCTCCGTCCACGATATTTTCAATATTCTTTCTAAACCCACACTTCGAATTTAAAAAATGTGACAAAGTATATAAGCCCCAATCTTCTCTACTTGCTTTAGCGTTTACTATATGAGATACCGCAGGAATGTACCTACTCGTAACTTTTACAATTTCACGGGAAATCGATAATGATTCACCCATGAATCATGACCGAACCGCCCTATGCATCACTTGACATATAAACTTATCGAACGGTGATTCTCAAATCACAATTCTAAAGAAATTAATTACTTAATTGTTTGTTAAATGAAAATATAGATAGACATAAACGGGTAACGAATTAACGGTCATGTGATGATTTAATGGGCAAATACTGCAGTGTAATCTTATCTGGAATACTTTCTTGTAATAGAGACTGCGGCTTATTTTCACAATAGGTAACATACGTGTTAAATACAAAACACATTATTACTGGAAAATCTGAAAGTTACATTTCTAAACAAATAGTTTCCTGTACGGTTGGGAACACCTAAAGATATGCAGTCAAAATTCTTTGTTGGAAATCTGTCTTAAGTCATTCGAATAGCATGCTTCAGTTTAAAAAGTGACGGTATGCATGTACATACGTACACATTTGCCTGTGGTCAAGAATAATGACGGCCAATAAAAAAAAATAAAGGTAAACATCAACGATGGGAAGAAAATGGCTGAAAAAACATGGTGGGTTTTTGAACTTACAGTTTTTACACGCATTAAAGTACATTACATTTTGAGTTTCTTAATTATTTGTTACCATTTCAATGAAATCAAATCATTTATTTCTTTGTGATACACAGGTTATAAAGTTGTTACAAGAATGAATTTTGAATCACTGTGATCCGCCTTATGGCATACAAAGTTTTCTGTTTTATAATTCTCATGCAATAATTTGTAATATTATTATTTTGTAATGATGCTGATGGCTCGGTAGCCAATGCTCAACAAACGACAAAAAATAACTGAGAAAAGGCGAGTTTCTGTAGTTAATAATTTTTAGTTTACGTATAATGGATACCAATTGATACAATACACTATAAGTTTTGGTTGAAGAAAAATAAAAATGCAGTATTGTTTGTTTGACGCTTTAGCATGTCCCAAAGGACAAAAATTTTTGTTTCGTTAGGTCATGGTTCAGATTTAAAAATCTGAGTACTCACGTATTTTGGTGGCTCGGATCGCTGTAAAAGTCAGATTATGGTTGATACGTTATTTTATACTTACACTAGTTTTTTGGCCATGATATGCTTATCTTGACGTGGACAACACAGATATCAACGTCAATCCACAAATCAAATTTGATTGTAACAAGATTAAGTCGGCATTTGCTTTGTTTTAGGCGTTAAAAATCTAGGTTTAATCGCTTCGACGTTTTTAAATTACAAGGCTTTCTACTATCCACCAATGCTTATTTTCGTGGTGCCAATTTAGTCTCGATAACCACTTCACCGAGTTCAAATCTACAGCCAGGCTTAGGCGGTTTTAGTAATCTACAATAACAATTAATAATAAATGTAAAATGATATTTTCAATTTTTTTATAACACATCCATTCAATTATTAATTTATTTATTTCTAAAATAAACTTAAAGGTTATTTTAAAAATATAACCAAAGTGAGGATTTTAATTTAATACTTGGCTCGTTAAAAGCAGGTTCATTTATGACGATAAAAAGAAAGATAGAAAAAGACAGTTATGTTTGAGTACTGTGGGAGCATAACCATGGTTGTAGCGTAGTTAAAGGTACTGCTTAATAATAAACGAGGAATATATTCATAATTATAGATTTACTGTGAGCGTTCAGTTTGAAGATTTGTCCAGAACAATCGCGATGTTCGTTTGACCATCATCCTCATTTTTTATATAGTTCTAAACACAAACCCACTTTATTTTTTTAAACAGTCCTAAATATGAAATAATAATATAATCAATCCAGCCTGCTACAGTACAGTCGCGTCCAAAGGTGTTATAGCGAAAAAATCGTAATTTGTATAAAATCTTTAATAAAAAAAAACCGTTGTGAATATTGCCATAGTACCATGGCTTTTTTGTAGGCCATCACCTCCTTGACATCCTCGTCCCGGCTTGACGACGACTTAAGAGGGAGCATAGGAAAAATTCCTAATCTTCGATTTGATTTTAGAGGGGTATATCCACTTTAAACTTAAAAATAAAATATTGTATGAGTAACTACACGATATATTCAGCATAGACATTAATCGGAAACATAAAACAATAAAGTTTCCTCGATAGATAAAAATCACGAAATGACCTCTAAATTTCACATTTTTTCGATTTATCCTCGAAATGCTACAAGTTATTAGGACAAAAATTAGATAATTAATTATATTTATGCATGATCGACAACTGTCACTACGGTTTTTTTTAATCCCTTTAGTTTTAGAGTTATTCCGCTAAAACGAATTTGGTACTTTTAATGCGCAAAATTCAACATCTCCTGTCGCATGTCACGCGAACTTCAGGCATATATTTGTTTCACAAATTCGGGCGGAGCCAACGTCAAAACTTTTTTGGCATGCTCTTACTTAATACACACCTGTATGTATAGCCTCCTATATGTATTAAGCCGGACTTACATTTGTATGACGTGTCGTGTCGTGACGTGACAGAAGGGTATCGGTTTCATACACCTAGCACAACCGTCATGTCAGACTGCGACACACTAATATAAATCTAACCATATTAAATGTATATAAAAATCCAGCTCCTTGTGAGAGTTCGTCTAGGGTAGTACTGCCACCTTACCTATTTCTGCCGCCAAGCAGTAATGTCAGCATTACTGTGTTCCGGTTTTGAAGGGTAAGGGTACTGGTGAAATTACAGGCATACGGGATTTGTCAACTTACGTCTCAGGGTGACGGGCGCAGTTATAATGCCCCTAAGATCTTTACAATTTAAAGCTCTGAGTGGCACTGTAACTGTTATGGACAGGTGTATAGCTTACCATCAGGCGCAGGACTTGTTCGTCCCGTCGCTTGATGTTATAAAAAAAAATCCATATGGCCATAGAGTATTTACAAAAACACGATTGTCACACAACAATGAGATCCTTGTTTGGACCTGAAGCAAATTATGTTTAGTACATATTAATGTACATTACGTTTAGCGCTTTTCCCATTGTAATTTGCTGTGTTTTAGGGGCTTTAAGGAGCTAAACTAAGCCTTTAAATTAGACGCTTATAAAACCGCGCAATTATTAATTTTCATACAATATTTAGAAGTTGCTGCCGCGCCACTGCTGCGCTTCTACAATTCTAATTTGAAGGTACCCTAAGAATACAGCCCGACTGAAATATACGTTGACCTCGACTTCCGCGTTTCTTCGACTTTAAGCCACTTCACCCTCACTCTCACTCACAAATGTCTTCGAGACATTTTTCTAATTCTAATAAGATTATTGTATTATAATGAGAAGTAATAAATGAATACTTTTTGAAATGGTTAACTTTAATGGTTAGCTTTCCGAGTATTAATTTTTGGACAGGTCCATACAATAGAGATGCATTGCGGGGATAAAAAAGTTTAATTAATAAAGTCAATAAATAAAACACGCCATACACAACCTAGTTCATACGTAAAAACAATAGAATAGGTAATCAAATAAAATCATACAAGTATTTTTTTACATTAAAACCAACAGTTTCAGCAACAGCCGATATGAAATCATATCCCACAATGCATTTATACTTTGCTGTATCTAAATCTATCTCTTTCCCGCCAGAAATTAACTTCAATTCAACTAATGTTGCTATTTGTGCCAATAAATTGCTTGTCAGTCCAATTTTTTCCTCCAAAATCGCATAAAAGATTGCTAATAAACGGTCTAACGTGAAGACTTTAGGACCGAGCTGTGTGTTTAATTTCTCGCTGATTTTCGCCTTTGCCTTAACTTGCTGTAGTCTCTTTCGTTGTTTGCCATGATTCTTCATGAATAGACGTTTGTCCTCCTTTGGGGGATTGTAGCTAGCCAAATAAGCTGCTATTAGAAGGTATTTTGCATAATAAGGAAGTTCAAAGCTCTGTGCGAACGTTTTTGTAGATGTTAGCTCCTCTTTCAACGTGTTTTCTAAGTTGTAACTATAAGGTTGAACTGCGTTTTCTTTTCCTGGAGACTGTGTTGACGGTTTAGAGTTGCTTGTACGTAAATATAATAATTCTAAACTCGTCTTAAGTATGGGAGAAATGTGACGCCATAGTTTGGATAAATCTTGTGCTGGGATTTCTTTCTTAATTATTGGTTCACAATATTTTACGAAATTTACTTGTGCCATATGCTGTAACTCGATGAGGTCGCGACACGGTCGGTAGAATACGCTCAAAAAGGCATTTAGGAAATTAGCAAACAGCTCTGGTTTCTGCAATTCAGTTCTTATGACATCATCTACCTGATAATTCTCCAATAAATGACGAATATACTGGTTTTGATGTAAAAATATTATTTTAAACAATTCATCTTTATTGTAGTTAGGAAAATACAACTTTATAGGCTCTCGGACGCCCATTTTGAAGTAAAAGTTTTCGTATATTAGATGAGTAATAAAGACGGTACATATGTTCAGGTTACATAGTTCTCGAAGCCGTAATAACGCGTCCATGATGTTGTGGTCCATAGAACGGAGTCTCTCAGCCCTGTCGAACACTATTACAATAGGGTCATAACTTCTATGACTATTTTCTAGCCGCGAAAGGCAATTTAGAAATTCTAGCATTGAGTCACATTTAACTTCAATATCTTCGTTTTCGAAGCCTGTTAATATGTATTCAAACATAATTTTGGGGGAATAACACTCGATACAGTCCACAGTAACATATTTATAACCCAAATGTCGTAAAACAGCGTCTAAACATAAACTTTTTCCTGTCCCTAAACTTCCACTTAGAAACAATGAACACGGCGAAGGCTCGTCGATATCACCAAAAAGATTAAACAATTCGTTCAATTGTTCGTTTCTGCATTGAATTTTATCGTATAATTCCTCCATTTTGTGTTATTTTGTTTGTGATAAATAAAAATAATCTCACTGCTGCCGGCGGCACTATTGACTGACAGATTGACGTTTAAGCGTTTCCCACTAAAAAGTGATATTCGCTGTGAGGCTTTGCTGCGGCGAATTCTTCTCGCTGTTGCGAACATGTACACATTTGTACACTTTCGACTACAAAAAAGAGAAAACCATACACGGATTCGTATAGCGCTGTCTCCGTCATACAGTTAATAAGATAAATATTTGTTAATTAAACGCAACGACATGCGTGTTCCGTTAGTGGAATCATAGGTGCATAATAATGTTTATGATAATTTTTTCTTTTGCTACAGAATTTTGCCGTGGAGTTACAATTGGAAAGCCAAGCCGAAATAGACATCGATCAATTCAAAGACGCTTTGAATAGGGCAGGAGGTGCAAACTACGGTACCGGAATCAGGGACTTATGAATTGCACAATGACTAAACAACTATCACTTGACTAAACAACTAAAATTGTCTGATTTATTAGTTATTGAAGACGTTTTAGTTGTTTTCCGGTAGAAACTCAATTTCGCATGGCTCTTCCGTGTAGCAAACTTGTAAAAATTGAAATTTTGATAAATTTATACCTATTCGAATTTTCCATTGTTATTATAACTGTACTGAGAATTGCTCACGGAAATGCCTAGGCCAAAAGAAATAGGCAATATGCGTGTATGGCACCAATTAATATCTGAATTTAAAAAAGTGAGTAATAATCAATTATTCAAAGTAGTATTTATGCCACATCCAAGGAACTAAAAAGAATTTTCGATGGTTTTAAATCTGCTGCTTTTTATATAAATTAATACAAAATTATACATGCATATTCCTATTGTATAGTTCATCATTAGTCATTTTTTAAAATTAGTCTTTATTTTTTTGTCACAGTAAAAGATCTATTTATTTTTTTGATGTAATATGTTTGAAAAAGTCCTTTATTTAAAGAAATCTCTTTGGTACTTTAAAATTTAAGTCATGTGCAATAGAAACCGAACCTTTTGAAAAATAAAAATTAAGCTTTTTATTTTTCATTTAAGGCTTCTTGTGCAATTAATATAACAATCTTTGATATTAAAATAGTTTTCGCCAAAAACGTAGACTTAACTGCCATGTAGCGTCATGCATTTATTTTTGCCTTCTATTATAATGACGAATTGTGAAAATTTTACATTGTATTGTATACATAATTCGGATTTTACCGCTTTTATACATTAAACTAGTGTTACCCACATTATTATTGGTAAACTGACTGGTAAATACAATTTAACTAAACATTATACTGCGTTTTATTGGTTCCGTCGATATATAAGAAAAGCCTTTAGATTCATAAGCACATGTTTAACCTTAAACAAAAGGGAGAAGATATATATTGGTAAAGTCTGCCATAAAGCGGACGAGATGCCTCTAATGGGCATACCATAGTCTCTCCTAGCACAATCGAAGTTAAGAAAATCTTATGGTTCTTTAAATTTGTAGGCCTTGACTCAGGATGTATGTATATTTTGTATTAACAACAGCGCTCCCTGTGAAAGGGTTCGTCCAGGGAAGTACTGCCACATTTACCCATTTCTGCCGCTAAGCAGTAATGTGGATATTACTGCGTTTCGATTTTGAAGTTGCTGGTGAAGTTACAGGCACACGGGGCTTTTCAACTTATGTATTAAGGCAACTGACGCAGTGGCAGTGCCTCTCCGATGTTTATGGTTTAAAGTTTCTGCGTGGCACTGCAACCGTTACGGACAGGCTTGTCGCTTACCACCAAGCGCACGACTTGTTCGTCTCGTCATTTGGTATCATAAAAAGAAATGTATTTTAATATGCGAGGTATAAATACAAAAAGGATTCTGAGCTGAGTGGAAAAATTTAGTATTTGAAATAAATAAAAAATATTCCGAATACTGTTTATTAAAACAAAAAATGCACAAAATGTTATATGTTCACTTATATGTAAATGCTATATGAAAACAAGGATTGTAATACAAAAATATTTCTATTTACTTATTATGGCGTTTGATTTGGTTACTTGAACACATATTTATTGCTTTAGTTATTGTTAGAATAACTAATAAAACTGGTTAACAGCATACTAAGACTTAGACATTTAACGAATTCAACATCACATTTACTTTCAACTTGCATGCAAGTGACTAGTAATGTGCAAACGCCCCTTTAGCATACTATTAACTAATTCTTTTAGCTACTTTATTAGGAAGTTAAAATTACATCCTTAACATCTATAAAAATCAAACGGATTAAAAACTATTAGAACTGAAAATGAAAGTACAAAAATGACTTTAAGTACGACAAAATTAGTTTTTTTTTTAAACATTTTTGTTACAAATTCGTCAAACTTGCAATAAGTATTGTTTCCATCATTAGTGGAAGTCTGAACTGTAGCTGTAGATAATTTTCCATAGAACAGAACCGTGTGTTTAGGGTCTCATTGATGTTTATAGGATTCAAGCTTTAAGTAAGTTCCCAAAAGCACTAATGTTAAGTTAATGCCACTTAGAGTAATGAAAATCCAAATAGTTCATTTTTTCCTGTTTAAAGAACAAGATGTAGTTTTTTTTAATTAAAAAAAATAATTGCGAATTCGGCCTCCATCTCGCCTGATGAAAAGTGACGTTTGCATCAGGTGAGTTTGAGTGAGGTGAAGCATGCACGCTTAAATAATGCCTATTCACTCTCGCCTTGAAAAGGACCAAGTTATACCGTTCAGGGAATAAGTGTGCAGGCAGGGAATTCCACTCCATAGACGTTCGCCATATGTGTCGTTCATTGTGAAAGTGAATAATGTCCTTCTAATTAAATTTTGAGATAATGAGCTTTTAGTTTTTAGTTTATTAATGTTTCGCAATTTTAATTCTCTGAGTACACTAGTAATGCCATCTATGGGATGTTAGTGCAATTATTGGAGTTGCTTCACTTTTATAATGAAAGATAGGACGACTACATGTGATACTTTTAAGCAAAAAAATTTGGACTTACACCACTTTTATAATGATCGATACATATAAATGTAGAAGCGAAACACTGTGCGAATCTTTAGTCGTACGGTTAGATTTAATGTTAGTAAACATTACTGGATTCAAATAAGGTTCATTTTTTTTACGAAAACGTATATACTAATTATCTAATTTGATATTTGAATCCAGTAAAGACCCATTTCCAAAAGAAACTATTTCCATTTAATTTTTTTTAATATTAAATAACGTCACATACGTTGCTCTGAACCCAAAGTAATTAGCTAAAGCACTTGTTATGGAAATCTTGAAACAACGACGATACCACAAGTAAACACTCAGACCCGAGACAATACAGAATAGTTAGTTTTTCTACACTAACCCGGCCGGGGATCGAACCCGGAACATCAGAGATGGCGACACTCCAGTGTCGCCATTCGACCATGGAGGTCGTCAAATTTCCACTAGTTTCTTTATTACATGGGTTCGAATAAGGTTTTTAATTAGACTGACCGTAGAGACTCAACAACTTGGGGTATAGTCAAACCTGTCAAATTGTTTTGTTTTATATGGGAATTGTACCTTCGAAATAAAAATTAGTCAGTCTTAACCAAACACTGCTGCTCTCCTTATCATAATTAACGTAGTCAACATTTTTGGCCAAATTGAGTTAACATAATCTGGAATCGGCGAAACAAGTTCGTTTCAATGGATTTTAAACAAAAAGTAAACAAATAAGTCATTGATACGACCATAGACGGCTTAGTGATGGCCAATTGTAATGCCATCTACAAATCGATTAATTAATTGAATCGATTTATTTAATTCAGTCATACTATCGGTTTTCCTTACATAACCTATAAAAGTATATTTAAACCGAAATCTTAATTTCAAATCCTTCAAATCCTTACACTTGAATTTTGGCGACATTAGTTCAGATGGTAATCGAGGCTTAGGGCTCTTCCATTGTTTTTTTCTTCCGATTTGGCGCCAGCGCATTTAATGTGTTAGTTATGTCAAGGAGAGTAGACTTGAGTACTCTAATGTACGGCTAATTAAAAACCTTGGACTAAAACGACGTCAGTTTTTTAAAGTAACGGTTAAAATATTGAAATATAAAAAAATATTTTAACTTAACTAGTAAAAAATATTATGCTTCATGAATTATTACCTACACTAACCATGCTGGCCAACAAGTCGCGACTGCAAATCGGGAAGTCAACATTAATCGAATTATAAGCGTAACAATACGGTTAACAGCAGTGTTGTATGTAACTATTGTATAACAATATTTTTCATATATCTATGAAAAGTACAACAAGTAAGTAAAATATGTACATGAATAAATACTGTAACATTGTAATTATTATGATACATTATAATTTATTTAATACAGACGTGTTCATTCGGATAATTCACTAACATGTAAGTCAACCGACAGAGTGGAAAATGGGTTATATAAATCCTACAAGACGGACACGTTATATCGTCAAAGTGACATTATCAAATAGATTATTACTGACTGCCACGACGATATAGTCTCTTCATATAAATCAATCCCTTTCCGTTGGTCAGCATGCAGGCCAGCAAATCTCGTCAACCGACATATCGGCCAGCAAATCGGTACAGCGAGTTGTGCTTTGTATCAGACGTGTACAGCGGGTGCTGGCGCGAGCGCGCGCAGCAAAGCGCTGTTCGTGTGGTGCCCGAACAGAACCGGGAGAAGAGCCACGCCGTAACCGGTGGCTCGGTCGCCCTGCAAAAGTAAGTTGGTTATAACTTTTTATTCGGTGCTTTTATACCTAAATTTTACGAAATGTATGTATCTGGAAGATATCATATAGTACGTCTGTCATATAATTTTATTTAAAATTATATAATAAGTTCTTTGTGTAGTAATGTCGCTTAATATTAATTAGATAGCATGCAATTGTGTTGACTCAATAAAGATTATTATTTCCTGTGACCTGCTGTCGAAATATGGTAGCAATTTCTTAAATGTTTTTTTTAAAGATAATTCTAAACGTAGAACATCACATGAGCCTTCAAATTATGTTATTTTAATTATGTGGAGGTTAACAAACATCCAATTATCCGACCACCACTTATAACTTTATGCAATTCGTGGAGTGTTTGTTAGATGACAAGGACTTACCACACCAGCCGGTGCTGCCATGTCAATGTGCAGCCATGAGCCGGGGAAGTCGAAACCTAGATGGGCCAGGATGAACAGCCCGGCGCAAGATGGTTGCGCGTTGTTGCGATCCTGCTAGCATACAAATGTCCCATTTTAAATCAGAGTTACCTAAAATGCTGTTGGCTAGTTTAATTACAAGAATAAATATTGTAAATTCCTTAAATAAATATAGTGGGTGAACTGACATTCCAGTGGTTGTAATGCACATTTTTATTATATTATTATCTTTGCGTCTGTAATGTGAATATTTGGTAGTATATAAGTAAATATTTTGTATCCATCACATATTTGCACAATTTATGTTTGTAGGGTACTATAGGTCTATTTTTATACAGTGTTCTTAGATAATTGTTTGTATATGACTGTTATTACTTGAATAAATAAATAAAAATTTAAAAAAAAAACACCAAGAAAGAAACATGTAGAAATTTGTAGTAGAAATCTTTTGTATAACACTGATTTAAATTTTCACGATTTTCATACATTATTTGATTTTAAATTCGGGACTTAATCGTGTTAATCGTGTATAGTGACAACCCTAGCGCACAAATAAATAATACAGACCATGAGCGGGTAATTAAAAAAACTCGCATGGCTAGAAGATTTTAGACCCGCCTTTTCAGTTCCTTCGATACCATGGACGTTGTAAGGTTGCTAACAATTGACTGCATGTTTTCAGTTGATGCGTGAAGTCGTAATCTACTTCATGCAGTCGAGGTCGCGACAGTTCTACACGACACGTTCATATTGCTTTTAGTCTTGAGGTGAAAACTTTACTTTTCTATTGCCAGAAAAATATAGTCAATTAAAAAAAAGGTACATAGAAAACAAAAACAGTACATAGACAACTTAGAATTTTAATGTGGGCAAAGGCGGCCTGAAAACGATCACTTCCAGACAACATTTATGGCAGAGGAGAACTGAATAGAGAGGGAGACATGTAATGTGCCAGTGGTATAAATTGAAATGCATGGTTAAAAACTTATATGATTATATTATGAAATAATAAATGACAATAATATTATATACCTACATATATGTATAATTGAAAAAAAAAGATATAATAAATAAGAATACAATGGTTTATTATATATATAATATATATATATATATATATAATTGCATATTTAACTTATACGTTAAATATGCAATTAAAATTATTTTTAAATTATAAATTACGGTTCATCCGGAAAATTACTACGCATACTGCTGTGGTGTAAAAGTCAGGAGATATTGTTGTAAATGTAAATGATGCACTTTACTCCCGCTAGGTAGGGCTATACTGACGTACTTTTAGAGTATGAGAAGTGAAAAACAATTATTAATATTAATCTGAAATTCACATACCGCAACGCTGTTCGTCATGTCGGCGACGGAGCTGGAGAACTCCGAGAAGTGCAGTTCTGGGGTATAGGGCAGCGGATGAACGAGGTCGCCGGACCGCAGTCCCGCTACTGTGCACAGCGCTTCGAGGCGGCTAGTGTTCGACACTATGGCGGCGTGGTACTTGCCCGTCGCCACGGCCTGTACGTGAGACCAATTTTATTGGTAACTTGTTGTGAGGTTTTTTATGAAATAACTTCTTTAGTTTTGTTATGATTTATTAATACAAAGATCGAACACAGAAAAATTTCAAAACAAAAAATCGAACACAGAATTGCTCTTACCAATTGAGACACAGGTCAAGTTACAAAGCTGTCGAGATTCTCTTATGTGTTTTTGTTATAGATCTTTGTACTGGCTTTCGGGTGACATTATTGAATAATCTTCTCACCGCAGCCGGTACCTTTACAGGTATCACAACTGACGCATATATCGCTTATCGATCAAATGATGTATTTGTTGAGGTTTTTTTGTAAAAGAACTCCACTAGTTTGTTATAATTATTAATACAAAGATCGAACACTCAGAAGCCCCGGCTAGCGCTAGACACAACAAACACATAGAAAAATTTGTGAGGTCCGCTGGTTCGTTCCGTGGCTTAGTTGGTATAGCGTCTGGTACGGTATACTAGAAGACGAAGAGTAGTTTACCATTCGTCCCGTTACTTAATGTTATAAGACATTAATCTACTAGTTGGACAAGCTAGCGGTTTTTTGTAAGGCCTTGTTCAACAGCGGAATGTACCTGTGCGCCAGTCAAGGTGGCCATGTCGACGATGGTGTCGGCCTTCAAGTCGCGGTGCGCGTACACGACGCCATCGCTGAGCACGAGGCGGCCCTCGGCGTCGGTGTTGTTGATCTCCACAGTGCGACCCGAGTACAGCTTGTGGATGTCATCGGGTCTGCAATAGAGTTACAACGGATATTCGGTTACTATTCGGCCTGTTTTCTGCTATTCGGCTGAGTACCTAGAAACAGGAAGAATAAAATAAAACCGACCTCAAAAGTCATTCATCCCCTAGTTTGCCACCCTTAGAGAGGGTATATTTTCTTCAAATTTAAATGGGACCATTTTTGAGGTATCCTCTTTCCAACAAAAAAAAAATCGTTAAAATCGATTCACAAATGCCAAAAAAAGGAACCTCCTTTTTTTGAAGTCGATTATTCGAAATGTATATGTATATATAACTTAATTATTATTATAATATAATACAATATTTTAATTATTATTAGAAATTTATATATTTACGAGTCGAGATTAATGAATTACTGATTCGGTCTGTCCTGCCGCCGTTAGTTGAAAGAGCGCTTGTGACAAAAAATCATAATGGTGACATTATCTCAGCTTGAATTAAAATTTTCCCGTTCCGAATCGGTTCTAGCGCGCGAGTCGAGCAGCAGGGACACTGGCTTTATTTCAGGATTCATTTCAAAAATGGTATACTAACATGGTGCCTAAACTGTAGAACAAACTGCTACATTGGTTAAAAATCTTATGCATGGATATGTTCAGGAATTGTCAATGCTATTTATTAAAAAATGCTATTACACGGTTGATGAATATTTGAATGAACAATATAGTGTGAATTATAGTAAATGTGCTTATCATTATTATATAAATATATTAATATTAATAATAGTTAAGATGCTAATAAATATAATTAAGTATTCATGTTTTATTGTAATTTAATGTTATTGAAGAAAATATGTTGACTAACCATTAAGCTATAAGCACCGATTTGGATAACTAAGATACGAGAAAGCAATTTTACTTAGTTCATGTGTCACCTAGATTAACTTGCTCTACTAACCTTAATCAAAGTTATGTTTTATACAGAATAAATTTATCTTTATGTTTAATTGAATACATTATAAATTAAGATTAGATTGCATATACATTTTTGTATGCCTCTGTAAGAGGTCATCATAGCTATGCTATATAAGACTGTACGCCCTATCATGTTACCTATGATGACGAATAAATATATTGATTGATACGTGTTCTATTTACTTCAGTTGATATAAAAAATAAATAAATGGTATATGTAAAAAAGTATTGCGTAACATGTAGTAAAGCGGTTTTCTTGTAAAATTTCGAGATAGGTTTGTGTTTTCTTTCTATAGTGAAAATTTTTACGAATCGTGTTTTTACAATCAGTATCTATCCTCAATGTTACTATATTTTTTTTTCCAAAGTGATTTAATCAACACTTTCTCTGTTATGAGGAAGCAACCAAAGCCATTTGAGAATGTTTTGACTCATAAAGAAATGAAATTTAAAAAATATGTACGTTCTTTTGTGGTAACTTTATAGATTATCTATCTAGGAAAAAATAAACATATTGATATACAAAACCATTTTTTTTTAAATGTAGATAAAAGCGGTGGCCTCGGTGTAGCAACAGACGCTGGTTCCAATCTAGTCAGATCAATAGTATACTATTGCAGAGGCCGTGAAGTAAGTGATTACTGGACGGGTTTCATACGGGTCAGGCAATCCCTATAATACTTTCTTCAAACAATGTAAAGAAATAATAAAAGACCAAAGAGATGCTTTTTTAAGTAAGCGGTACAAGTAGGTGTTTTTGAAACTCGCAATTATGAACACTAGGCAGTTGGCTGTATGAATTTTTCTTTTGCTTGTTTACATAGGTCATCGTTAGTAAATCGATTTAAAAGTTTAAAGCAGCGGCCAGTGATGTCTTTTCATACTTACTTTGCAGGCCTTGGCCGGGAAGAAGTCGCACGGTCCATAAATGGCAAACTTTCCGTGTGCGCTTTTTGGGTTTGTTCAGTTTTAGTATCCATAATAATGAACAGAAAAGTTGTATTTAGCGTTGTTAGATGACACTGTTAGTATGACACTGTAGTGGATTGTGAAACTGTTTTTTTTTAATTGTACTTAGTAATATTATTAAGTTTGATTGATTCTTAAACTTATTTTCTTTGTCGGCATTGTACTTTTAAAAAATTACACTAGCGATTATGCTGCAATTTCAAATTTTATATTTTTGTAGTAATCTGTGGATGATGTGGTTGGTTGTACTATTAGCTAAGCCGATATTCTTATTCTGTATACCTCACCATGTACAATTGTTTGTCATTCCTCAATAAATAAATAGATAAAATGACACCGACCGGGTGGCCTTGGGCCCCACGGCGTTCTCGGCCAGGCACAGCACGGCGTGCAGGTTGAGCGTGGGCCGCGCGCGCACCATGACGCCGAAGGCCGCCAGCACGCCCGCCGCGCCCGCGCAGTCGCCCTTCATGCCCACCATGCCTGTCTGGGGA